TAAAACCCTACTATTTGGGTCCTGGACCCTTAGGGGAAGCGCTATGCGAGGCTTATATGGGGGAAACTACGTAACTACTCACCTGGAACATCCTTAGACTGGTTCAGGGTCTAGGGTTACCCTAAGGCTCTGAGGACCCATATTTTCCGGCTTTTGGGCCCAAAGATCACACTAAGCCTTTTGGGCCATTTTGAGCCTTAGGGTTAGGGTTTTAGGTATATATAGGTTTACTATATGATGGCTGAGGATTCCGCATTGGGATTCAATCGGACATTCACAGACAATGTCCCTCTACTGCGTTCTAGTATAATGAAAATTACATCCAATAACGGCATGGACGGGGTACTTCATAAATCCTTATGTTTATAGGGCTTGGGTATAGGTGTGAGCGGTTGGGATATGGGGTTAACGTCTTTGGGACTCAGGCGTGCCTTCCTGAGTGACCTGGCTAAACGGACAAAACACTACCATAACCTGGGCATGTCATTGGTGAAATACCAAGGGCTTCAAATTCCTGCAATGCAGCCAATGTGGAACCGTTCTGTATACGGACATACATACGTACATAAGTACGTACATAAGTGCGTACATACCTACGTACATAACTACGTACATACATACATATATACATACATACATACATACATACATACATACCGCTAAGCCGCTGAGTGGGGGTAAGGTCCGGTGTGGTTCTCCGAATTTGCCCCCAAACCTTAAGCCCTGAACCGCGAATAGTAAGACTCTAGGTGGACCACCCCCCCACCCTGCAATAGTGACTATAAGGGATAATGAGGATGATATTCGTGCTTTTTTATATTCCTATTATACCACTATTACAGGGAGGCGGCAAGAAATACTCAGTGAGTTTTGGCAACCTCTGTACTTTCAAGGTTTGTACCGTAAACCCTAAACCCTGGACTCAAAGGGGGCTTAAGGGTAAGGGTACAAACGTAAGTCTTTGGTTTGCCAAGGAGCTACGTATTCTGGTGTTGGTTGCTGAATTTCGTGGCCCACGAGAAGATTGACCATCTAAACGGGTTTAAGGTTAAACCCTTAAACCCTGAACCCTTAACGCTGAACCCTTATAGGGTAAGGCATATAGAATGAAAGGCCCAGGGTTCCCTACTTAGGCAAGCCACAAAAATCTTTCGCTGTGCCAAATAACCTTAAGTAGGTTTGGGGTTTAAGGCTTTAGGGTTTAGGGTCTGGGGTTTAGGGTTTTGAGGCTTTAGGGTTTAAGGTTTTGGCGCACAAAGTAGGAGCGACCGAAAAAGCCCTTAACCGAAACCTGTTGATGGCGAAAACCCTCTCATACCCGAACCCTAGGAGAGATAGGGTAGGCGGCTATACTGAGGGTCATGCAAGAGTTGATTCACCGACTGTAGGATCTACCAAATTTGAGAACCCTACATGGGTAAATCCTAAACCCTATTTCTTGCATCAGCATGCTGAGGGTCTGAGAGCTACACCCTTGTCCAGGCAAAGGCCTAGAGAAACCGTGCTCGCTCCAGTGCGCAGTTGTCAAAGGCGTGGGGGCCGTCGTGGGCTTCCCGCAATACCAGCACTACGTACTACCACAAGGCTTCGTTCGATCTAACAAAATTAATAGCCCCAGATGACCCCAGTGGGAAACCCTGCAACCGACAAAAGCCCTTAACAGATCAGCCCTATATACCAAACATATCAACTTCTGAACGCGAAGCTCTGGAAACCCTTCAAGTGCCTAAGCCTGCATACAGCCCTGAAACCGATAACTGTGAGAGCTGATTGAATTCGCACGCTACAGGCGGCCGTGCAATTCAAGCACATGCAGCACTTTGCGCATGCCAAAAACCTGCCCCGCGCCAAGACGTCCAGGATGGGATACCGAGTTTTATTTGTAATACCTTCTCATAAGCGAAATTAAGTAAGTTCCAAATCCTAGCCCAGAATCCTAAAACCTTAAACCGTGAACCCTATACCGTAAAACCCTAAGCCTTAAACCCTACAATTTCCAAGTGTCGCACTGCAGCCCTAGCCCAGCCTTCAAATTCAAACATCCTAAATCCTCAGCCCTGACTCCTGAAAACCTTAAGCCCTAAACCCTAAAGCAATAAACGCTGAGCCCTAAAACCCTAAACCCTCAACCCTAAACCCTAAAACCTTAAGCCCTAAAACCCTAAAACCTTAAAGCCCTAAAACCTAAACCCTGACCCGTAAACCCCAGAACCTTAAGCCATAAACCCTAAGCCCTTAAACCGTGAGCGCTAAGCCCAAGGCCTCCCAGGGCCTCGCGGGCGCTGTTAATTCTTTTTAAGCATTTGAGTCCCCAGAAAGCAGCAGCTAAGTAACAGAGATCCCTGTATAATTTCTTGACAAAATTGTCTAAGTACAAAATCTAAATATGTGAACTTTCTGACAGAGTTATCTATTCGTGGTTTTAAGGGGTTGGAGAGCTCTACGACCCTTAACATAGGTGGACTCCTGGGTGGGTTTTGAAAGGTTTGGAAGGGGTGGAGAGCTCTACGACCCTGCATATAGGTGGAGCAAACTCCTTTTGAAGGGTTTGGAAGGGTTGGGAGAGCTCTACGACCCTTCATATAGGTGGAGCAAACTCCTTTTGAGGGGTTTGGAAGGCCTGGAGAGCTCTACGACCCTTCATATAGGTGGAACAAA